GGTTTAGAGCGAATTAGTCAAATATGCTTAGGCCGTACCTGAAGCCACATTGCTCCTTTTCTATCTTGGAGTCAATTATTACGCGGTACCTCCTCCTTTCTAGTTATTTTTGCGTTTTCCTCGGAGGCTCATTAAGGTGATGCCCCGATAATTGGTGCACTCCCCGTGGTATCCCTTCTTGAACAGCGGTACTACAACTCCCGTTCTCCAGTCCGTTGGTGATTTCCCCTTAGTCATTGCCGTTTGACAGACACGTACTAGCCAGCATATGCTTTGTTCCCCTAATGCTTTGAGCATTTCAGGGCGGATTTTATCAATTCCAGCAGCCTTTCCACTTTTCAGGCTTTTCACAGCTTGTATGATTTCATCGGCAGAAATAGTAATATCCTTTTCCAGCTACTCTGCAGACGAGTCTTCCGACAGTTGCTCTGTGTTAAGGAGTTCCTCAGAGTACTCTCTTCACCGACGAACAATATCCCCGTCTTCATGTACTAGGGTGTCGAGACTTGTCCTGTAAGACTCAGACTACTTTTCACCTCGGAGCCAGTAGGTGGTCTGCCAGAATACCTTGTTTTCCGCCTGGAAATTCAAGTCCAACACCTCATTGAACTTTTTCCAGGAACCAGCTTTAGCCTTCGCTGCCTCTTTGCGCGCTTCTACATATCGCAAGGATTCCAGAGCTTTGGCGTTTTGTTGAAGAGAGTCCAACTATGTCGAGTTGATTCCTTACAGACTCATCAACTAACGCCTGCTCTTTCCTTTTCAGTAAGAAGATGTTACAGTTTTCCACTGTCGGTTTCTTTCCCTTAGAATCTAATTCCTGCCTGCCTCTACTGTTCAGAACGGGTAGCGACGCCGTTGATCGTTGTTTCGTCGATCTGAGCTGGTTCTGATTGTCGAATTTTGTGGCCTTGCTCAGTGCCCCAACAGTTGCGCGCCCCTTGATAATCCGGGCGTCGACCGAACCGGTATAATTATCGATTACAACATAGCGTGAAGGTAGGTGGTTAATTTTTACGGAGAAATTGCCTCATCTTTTCTCATCCGGGCTTGGTACCGGCAATGGCAGAGTTATATCTGTGCGTATTTGAAATTAGTATTGGAGGTTCATTAAATGTCCTCTTGTTCAAATGCGTTTTCTACTGTAGCTGAATATTTTCTGTGATGATGATGATATACAGACAAATATTTTCTTATGATTATTTAATTTTTTAAATGTCATTATCCAGGAGTGCCCTTCTAGGCAGAGTCGACAACAGCTGAGTGTAGTGTTCTGTTTCATTCCCACAATGTGGTACTCATTTATCTATCTCAGAAAGAAGAAAAGCGAGTGAACTGACCGGTACTCGAACTCGGATTTGAGTCTGACTTGCTACCGATTGGGCGTGTGAAGCCAGTCTGAGGCTAAATGTGGCTAAATTCCTTGCTCAAGGGGAATTCGTAGTTAGGACTAGGATTGCCCTACGCCGGAATCCACCCATTTATCTCTGGAGTTTGAATCCTACCTTTTGGACCCATGCCACCTTTTCAACATTAAAAAGTTGGTCTATCCTTAGTTGGTTCACTAAGGCGAGACCTATTATTGTTGCGGGTCTTCATCCTTACCGTCCTGGGTGGCGCACTCGTTAATCCGTTCTAAATTATTTGAACTATGAATGAAAGATACTTGCCTATTTCAGTGAACTGTTTTATAAAATGTCGATTTGAATCAGTGTCTCATTCTTCTCTAAATTTACCGTAGAAGATCCAACATTTTCTGTAACATGAGGTTCGTGTAGATACTGTTCTGTGGCGGAAGCCGTGAAAATAGATGATCGATTTTCTCTTGTGCCCGTAGCTATTATCGAATCAGTTGAAAATTCAGCTTATACTTGCTTAAAGGTCTCTGAGTCAACAGGCAAACAGCCATATTTCGTAACAATGAAACGAAAATGAAGTAGCTTAACGTAGCACAAATAGATGGCATAAATCCTGCCGAAATCGGTCACCATACGTGTAATTCCTATGATTTTCGGTTCTTGGGCTTTTTAGCCGTTCCATAACACAACGCATCCATCAAATGAATCCGTTCGGATGAATGTCGAGCATGAGACCCACCAACCAGCAGTAGGCACGACTATTCCACAAGCGACGAACGACTTGTCTTTTAAACGCAGGTAGGGTTCAACGGCAGTTTCACATACCGCAAGTTATGAGTCGTTTTGAGGGCTAAGTTTCTATTGCGTGAAGAATTAGTTCATCGGTATAATTTTGTGGTAGTTATAATTTCCGCGTTCGCCCTAGGAGCAGAATGTTTTTTTGTCATTATATATGAAATTCTTATTGCTTTT